TATCGAGAGGACAAATTGATTGAGGCTATTTGATTTAAGCGACATTTATCTTTGTAATTAAAGTTGCGTTTTATTTGGTAATAGCATCAACAGTTCGATGTTTTTAATTTGATGATGAATTAAGTTTATCCATTAAAATAAATTGTTATGATATTTTTTCTAAATTTTAAGCTATAGATTCTAGATAGATATCCTGGCTAGATAGGCTCTGCTGTAAAGTTTGGTCCTGTAAAATCAAATGGCCTTTCACCCTTCGATATGTTCATTGCACGTGGACATGAACATTTTAACTAATGCGGAATTTATTGAATCCACAATTACTCAAGTCAACAGACTCCATACAAACAGAAGATCCGTTTAGACATTTGAATCATCCGTTATACACTTTTATTTATTGCTTAGATGGGTGAACGAGCTCACAGCCCACCTGGTTGTTAAGTGGTTATTGGAGCCCATCGACATCTACAACATAAATGCGCCACCCACCTTGAGATATAAGTTCTAAGGCAGAAATAGGCAGGGTGGTGGTACCTACCCGTGCGGACTCACAAGAGGTCCTATCACCAGTAATTACGCAAATTATGATTTTCCGAGTTTTCATTTTTATTACACAATGTTATTCCTTCACCGTAGAAGTCAATCGTGACGATTTGTTAAGTAAGTATTTCATTAGAAAAATTGTTACCCGCCTGCGGGATTCGAACACCGTTGCATCGCTAGATACGAAAGCACCGAACGTCTTATCCTTTAGGCCATGACGACTTCTTCTTTCGCTTCATTTGAGATTACGACCACGTATCTGAAGTTGGTCGTTTTCACTTTGAGATGTCCATGGGCTCCAGTAATCATTTAACACAAGACGAGCTGTGATTCCGTAAATCTATCGCATATAATAAAAAAACAATTTTAACAAAACTTTTCCCACTATATACGTAAATAAGTCAGACAGAAACAGAGTTCGTCCTCTTGTTAATTACCAGAAACTTCCATTGTCCAGTTAACAAATTGGTTAAATCTCGTTTTCGATGCGGGCACGTTGACAAAATATAGTTGGCCAACGGACACTGGCACTGTAATCCAAAGACTCGGAACGTTCATTAATGAACATTACTTAAACCGATTAGCCGGTCTGACCGCCCGGTCATTACCGGGTCTAATTAGTAAGCGACAACAAAAAAACGTGCCGTAATATTTTATCCTAATGATACCTACATACGGATTATTTTTCAATGAAATTCTTTTTAATCATATTACAATTCACACTTTTGTGATTATTTAAACTGACAGATTTCTATTTTTATTGAAAGCCTTATCTATACTCCTATATCTATATCTACATCTATACTAATATATAAATCTACAGTGGTTTTTACGGATGTTCCGTTATAACTACTGAACCATGCATCCGATTGACTTGAAACTTGGTATCCGTGTAGAAAATACATGTACTTACTGGATAGGCTAATAGTTATATGAGTGTTGGACTCCCTATACCAGTTGCGGGGGCGTTAATGATGAGAATCTTTGTGGGTGTGAGAAATAATAATGTTAATTTGAAATGCCCAGCGAAGCGGACGGTTACAGCTAGTAGCATATTAAAAATACTCAAATGCTTTGGTCGAGGTTTCTTCACTTCTGAAAACATTATGTCGAGTCTAATATGTATTTGTAAAAACAGCTTGAGAAAAGGCGGGGGGGAATTTTCTTGTAATCCTTTTGGTATGTCGACTTCTACACAATAATTTTTTTTATTTATTATTTAAAGAAAACTAATCTTTAAAGTAATAACATAACACATACAAAAACCACTGAATTGGATATGTTTAACATCAAGTAATTAGTTTTAATTAAAAAAAGTACTAGTTTCTGTTTCTATTTTTCGTTCCTAAGAACCGAGTCTCTGGATACGTAGTAGGAGTCTTCTTCAGTTATCGTACATAATTAAAATAATTATTATGGTTTATTTCTTTCACAGTGATTCGAGTGTGTGATTCGAAATAGAGGAATGATAAAAAAAGCATTATAATTTTCTTAAAGATTACTTAACCGTAAAGTCAATTTTAAACGTGTCTTCTGAAATCCATTATCTATGGAAAATCACATTTTTTTACTTCCCAGTCTGGTTGACTACAGAAAGCTGAAAAAAATTAAAAACGCTATATCTTTCATGTTGTACCATCTGTTGTAAGAAACATTTCATTTGTTACACTTAGAAAGTTTACAAATCCCTTTAGATATTCAGGGCCTTCGACCGAAACTCAATCAATGTGGTTGAAATATTTAAGATTCCCGTATAAATAATTATCCATTCAAGAGCTTGGGAGAAGATTTTGATAACTAAGTTTCCCAGCCACTGCGTAAATAATCTAGTTCGAATCCCTCTGATAAGTCAGTCACGTTAAGGACTTCACGTTAAAGTCTTGAAACTTTTTATTTTATTTAATGGAACCAAAATCGTACTTTACTATCTGTAATTAGAATATTTTTGTGCGATATTGCAATTTTCAGGTTTTTTAATTGCATAGATCCGTGAAAGAGCTCACACTATTATAATATGTGCCGTCGCACACACACATAACGTCGAGTTTACAATAGTGTAGTCTAAAAGTTGTCCCACGCTCCTTCTGTAATGATAGTATCTACATTTTTGAGCTAATAATACGCCCTACAACCAATAATTACGCGAATTACATTTTACGCGGGTCCGATCCTTAATAGACGATGTTATTTCCTTCATCTTCGATGTCCTTCGTGAACACGTGTTTGATAAGTATTTCCTTAGGTCAATCCTATCTACGTACGAGATTTGAACACTCTCATTGTCGAATCGCTCGACACGCGTAGACCGAACATCTTGTAAAAAGTCGGAAAAACATTGTGTTTTTTTCTCCAATTTCAATAATATGGATTAAAGATTTGAATTTCTAGAAAGATTTTTTCGTTGAGACCGTTAGTTAACATTATTAGAAGACTTTGATCTTTGAAGGTAATAATATAAAACCTTTTACTTATAATTTATATATCATACAATGGCTTTGCTAATTTGTTATATCATTAAATATTGCGTACGGTTTTATGGAAATAAATCGCTTGCTCACTCATACAGTTTACCTTTAACAAGTACAGCCATTTTAACCTTGTAGAAACCTCACCTATTAACTTTATTTACTAACTATAATCCGAAGTCCCTAAAAAAAGATCAGACTTTTGCAATAACAGGTCCGAACTATAATTATCACTCGTTATTATACATTACTAGTGGTCGCCCCTTTTATTTATAATCACAGATTTCGCTAAGTATCTACAGTCGGCATCGCTGCGCCACTTTGAGTAGGCGACACGACATGAGAACCCTCTTGTCGTGGCCGCTGGAAACTACATACCCGACCCTGTAGACCGAATGGTAAACCGTCGATGTCGCCTAAAGCACGTCATTACGGATCCTCCTGATCCATTAACGGTGCTCTTAGGTACCACAAGCACTGGTCACCGTCCTCGTGGAACCCGTCGCTTGCGACGAAGGGCTCGACGAGCGAATTAGACAATATTAACCTATTCTCAATTAGACCACATACTTTAAACGTTAACAAAAGTTTGACAATAAACAAAATAGTATGTATATATGCGCGCGTGTGTGTGTGTGTGTCAAATATATGGTAGTGTGTGTAACGTTTTTTTATTGATTAATGTATCATATTGTTTATGCATAATTAGAAAATAGCATTCTACACTCCTCTATATTCTTTATGAGTGTGGGAAATTTCATACTACTCCGTCCGCGCAATTTTCGTAAAAGTTTTTGCTTCACGTATATAACATTATGATGTTTCTAAATCTTCACAATGTACTTCACATTGCAAAATAAGCAAAACGTATCAGGTTAATCGTAAATGCAGATAGCCGTTTCGATAGAGAGGGTGTGTCCGAAGGGCGGAGACCAGCCGCGTACACCAGAAACGGGAAAAACAGAAATAAACAAAAACACGATATTAATACTCGGAATATGCGAAGGATATGTTTTTGCTGTTATTATTATTCCTTTAGTGTACATCCCTGATGTACGTATGTCGGCCTGGCGATAATTACGTTGCGTAAAATTAAAAGTAGACTGAATAATTTATAACTAGTACGTCGTGATTTCGACACAGTATAGGACGAAGGATCTTAATGACAAAAGTCTATCGGGTTTAAATAGCACAGGACGTAAATTGAGTTATGCCACGATGATCTCGAGTTAATGCAATCACTTGCCTGTCGCCTAAGCAGTCTTTTACCCTAAAACTTTAGATCCTATCTAAATTACTGGTGTCGAATTAAATCATCTTGCTGGTTTGAAGCTGTTCTTTCGGTTTGGGGTATGGGGCCATGATGGGTTATGTCTCAACGTGGGTAGCGGTATTTTTATTTCCAATGTCTATGGTCCCCCGGTGACCACTTAACACAAGGTGATACGTGAACTTGGCCACCCTACTAAGCCATAAAAAAAATTCAGAACTTCATAATAAATGTCGTCTATGATTTTAAAGTTGTCGTGCATGAAACTTAAATACTTGTATTAACCGTTTTTTTCTTAAATGCGTGATCCACAGTTTTCTTTGTCAAACAAAATATATCTTACTAATAGCAATAGCTTAACGGGCGAACAATGAAAGCAAACATGGACATGTTCGCTTCGAAATTGAGTCCCGGCGAACAGCAAAAAATAGGTCGTCAATACTAGCGGATCGCATTATGCAGGCGTGCATCACGATCTGCGCAACCGCATAGGAAGGAATGTCTCGGCCGTACATACTGTTACGATTGTGAGAATTGTATTAAAGGCGGTATGATTTCTAAAGATCAAATCTTTAAAGGACATTGGCGGTGTAAATTTTTTGTATATTTTTTTGGTCATAGTCTGCCTCACTTTCGCATTACTCGATCCTGCATGACCAAAGAGGTGCGTGATGGTAACGAAATATACAAAAAAATAAAAAATTGAGTAATCTACATCTACATACCTATACTGCATCACGTGGACTTGGAGGTTTAAAATCTGCAACAAATATGAAAAAAAACAACATAATGATTCAATTGGATTAAATTATATCATAAAATTATACAGTTACAGGTTTTTTTTCGTCTTATTTCTATGCCTAAGTAGGAAAAAAACAAATAACACAGCTCGAATCGATTATGGCGCCCGTCGTAGTTATACCAAGAAGCAATTTCCAAACTAATAACTATGCAAATATAGTCGAACAAGCCATTAAAACTATTACCACAGTTACAGGTTAGGTTAGTAGACAAATTTTACAACGCTATAACGAAACTTATGAGCCAATAAATATCGATGACAAATAAAATTAATCGATATTACGATATCGATTTAGTACCACTGCTTTACCATCATAAAATTAAAGCTTAAAACTAAAATTATAGAAAGTCTCCCACATAAAACTGCGACTTTTTGCTTTTACGAAGCTTCTTAAGAGAGCTTATTTACAAAGCTTCTTAAGATAGAAAAAGAGTTTAAAATTTATTATTGCCAATAGAAGTTATTTTGATAAAATAAATTTTGATAAAATCTTTCCAGCTTTTTTTTCCTACCTAAGCTGATAGCCTTGAGAGGCTATATCAGCGTCGCCTTAACTAGTAGGTGAGCTCACGGGGCTCAAACCTGATGACGTTGCTAACACGAACCCTAGCAAGAGCCGTGCTTCGCAGAATCTACCACCGGATCGGAAACGCGACCCACTGAGAAGATCCGGCGAGAAACTCAGTGGGCTGTGTCTGAGGGTTAATTTACTCGTCGAGCCCTTCGTCGCAAGCGACGGGTTCGACGAGAACGATGACCGGTGCTTGAGGTACCTAAAAGCACCGTTAGTGGATCGGGAGGGTCCGAAATGACGTGTTTGGGGCGACGTCGACTGCTTTCCATTATGTCCGCAGGATCGGGAATGTCTTTCTAACCGAAATGGATTATTGCTTTAAAGCGTTAACAGGTGGTTAACAGGTTGGACGGTATACAAATTTGGGCTCACAATACGCCTTGCTACCAGTTTTACGAACATCTTATAAACTATAATCTTAAATGATACGCTGTTGATATTCGGGTTAAAACTATCCTTACGTATTGCACATTGATAATAAAGTGAAACTATTCAATAAAAGCGTTTAAAGTTTTACTAAACAGTAATGAGTAGTTCGGCTCCAGAAAGCATAAAAAAAATACTCGTAAAAATTTAAACTGTGTATTAGAGTTATCACAACATGTGTTTTTGCAAAAACATAGTCTATTTCATACGATAAGAGATGGCACTCTCAAACGCATATTTTTCGTATAGTGATGACAAGAAATGTCAATGTGCGAAATATTCTAGTCAATTAATTAAACATGTGCAATCAGAAGACATGAATAAATAAACAAAGCCACCGTTTTTTATATATTACATTAATTAAACTGATAATAATGCGCACAGCTATCAATTGCTTGTATTACATTTTACTTCGTGTCTGTAATGTATTTTATTTATAAACACTGATATACATAGTTATAATTAAAATAACTTTTACTGTTTTTATTGTCATTTCCAACGTTTCAATACTTTACAGTTTTCGTGGTCACGAACGGAAATCATATAAGAACATTAAACCGTAAAAACGGCTTTAATTATACCTATCATACAAAACTGACGAAGCCCGAAGACAATACTGTATGATACTGTATGTATGTATAATGTATATACAATGATATATTTATCATACATCTTATACATCTGTTATATTCTTGTAAAGCCATATATTCATATTTTCCTTTAATGAATGAACCAAAAATAATAAAATACTTAAATCTTAATATAATTGCTATGTAACGCTTTAATTAATTATATATAATTTTCTTAAATTTAAAATAAAAAACCATAAAAATACTAAATTTATGACAGTGCAATCGAAGCATAAATAAGTATTGTCTAATAAAGCTGTAAAGTATATATAAATGCACACACTTCGTTGCCTAAGTATTTTATTAGCAGTACATACTAACAGACTAAGGGCTTCGCAATTAAACACGGTGTAATTAAAGTAATAAATAAGCTATGTTTGAAACTGAATTCAAAAATAGACAACTGAATTCAAGTATAGTAGGCAGCGGCTTGGCTCTGCCCTTGGCATTGCTGAAGTCCATGGACGACGGTAACCACTCACCATCAGGTGGGCCGTATGCTCGTCTGCCTACAAGGGCAATAAAAAAAAACTTTAAAAACACGCTATTTTTAACTATCATAGATTACTTCATAACGAAATACGTTCTATTATTTTACGCTGTGTCCGCAATTGTAAAAGTTTTGAAATTATATTTTTTTAAATATCCGCAAGACTTTATTTTCATTATTAAATCTGAGATAATTACAACGGAACGTAATCTGCTCTAGAGGACTCAATAATTAAATTAATTAATGATAATTTATATGTTTACACTTACCTTGAAAACGATATTGAAATATAGCGTAAAACAAAACAGTTATATTTATTTATAATCTAATCAAAGTTGTTACATAGTAACCTATTGATAGATCATATCGAAACAGTAAACAAAATCAGAAGCGCACCAAAGATGGGCAGTTTATTGAAGTGCCGTAGGGCACGAATAATATTTCTGTTTATTTATTTTATACGAAAGGCTACCGTGCTCCTCGCTCTCACGACTCAATCTAATAAATAGCATTGGTATTACTGGAAAAGATATTCAGTAATAAGATATCCAGTGGCTGGATATACGGTTCTAGTGTTGGCGAACGATAATGGGAAATTATTGACTCCGCATTTCAAATAAAGTACCGAACGAATCCCATAGAGATATCCCAAGCTCAACACAATTCATTTGGCGGTAAATAAGAATTAGCGAGACGCTATTCAATGGCTCGTTAAAGACGGACCTGTTCCGATGCGGAGATCCAAATGTTTGTTGTTACAAATTCCGCTTAAATCACTATAGGACACGACTAGAAAGTGTTGCCGATGTAACGACAGACTGTCACGCCACCTGAGAACCAGACAATGTGGACAACACAACGAATGGAGTATTAATTTAGGTAAACCCAGAGGCACGGTCACGCATACCTATACCGTTTTCATACCTCGGGCTGCAACATTACAATTTTACGTATGAGTCAATGATAGCTCTCATTTAGTCCAGTAGTAACGTTTGTAGCACACAAACATTGAAACAGTATGTTTTTTATGAAGTCTAGACAAAACGAAAAACGTAATCATATTGCAAATCTAATTTTATCATTGCTTCGAAATTGTTTCGAATGCGAATTCCCCACATTTCACGGTCACACCTGCTTCTCATAAATACCGTTAGCAGTCAATTTAAAAACGGGCCTCGCCTTTTATCATCGACGCAATATCTAAACATATTACCCTAGTACATTATTACTGTATCATAAACGCGTCTCATCTCCGCCTGTTTTATGATCAGAGCGGGACTCACGATGGTAATTTCATAGGACATTTATCGGTGAAAGCTGGGAACGATTTGTAGGGCTCAAGGCGATAAGTGGCCGATTTTATGCCAATAAAAATGGCGTAATGTCACTTATACAATTTTCTGGTCAGAGCTCTTGACATCGATGCTGGAAATTCTTTGCATCTTTGTAACAGTTCATTTGCTGTCTAATAAATTATGCTTTAAATGTATGTATTAAAACATACTTTTATGATAAAATTTAATGTTCATACTGTCATTTAAAAAAAAAAAGGTAAGATGATTCATTATATACTTTTAATAAGCTTTGGCGTATGTAAAAACGTGGTAGGTAAGTAGTATAAGTTGGTGATTTGTTCATAGGAGTTTCTCATATTACTACAATGCATACGGTACAAGATATAAAAATATTGTAGCTCCATATATTCATAGGAAACTTTTTTTTTTTTTTTTCAAATGAAACCGGAATCAAAATTATCGTAAATTTCATTGTCCGATTGGTATCGATTCCACTTGATTGTACTATAGTCTTGTAGTTAACGTTTACGATAATCAAACAAATACGGCTGGCTATCCGATTACACAATTAATTTTTTTTATCAAAGTTACGAATTACTTTTGACTACCTGCTCCCTAGTAATAATTTACATATTCCACATTATTTTCTTCCACCGCGCTTGTTGTTTTTATTTCACTGTCAAAGGAAGGATATAGAATCGATTTACATAATTAACATTTACATTTAAAACTTTGTATTTAAATGAGAGTCCATTGTAATGAAGGTGTAATATGTATTTCTGTCGAATTCCATCAACGAAACTTCGTAAAAAAAAACATTCCAAACGAACATTTAAAACTACCCTACATTAATTACATTGTATTTTGAAAACGGAAACTCAAAACTGTTTTTATACGGACAATCAAATTGGACATTACCATATAGCTTAATTTAAATACTGGCGGTAGGACCTCTTGTGAGTCTGCGCGGGTAGGTACTACCACCCTAGCTATTTCTGCCGTGAAGCAGTAATGCGTTTCGGTTTGAAGGGCGGGGCAGCCGTTGTAACTATACTTGAGACTTTAGAACTTATATCTCAAGGTGGGTGGCGCATTTACGTTGTAGATGTCCATGGGCTCCATTAACCACTTAACATCAGGTGGGCTGTGAGCTCGTCCACCCACCGAAGCAATAAAAAAATCCGTTTGTACAAACAAAGATTAAATAGTAGAATTCGAACACTGCCACAAAGCAGACGGTACAACAACATGAGTATACGTTCAAATTCGCTTGGAGCAAGTCGATGCTCACTAGCCGTACCATAATTACGTACTATCATCAATGCGGTACTGGTTTATTGAAAGGCTGCTTGAGAGGCGGGGGATATTAAGATGATGGCCGGCTTGTAATTTGTAATTTGATGAATTAAGGAACACACCCGCGGACTCAACGTAACGTAATGACGGTCGCCTAAAAATTTAAACAAAAATAAAAACCGACTTCAAATAGAAAAAAAAGATAATCCAAAACAAATTAATATACGCTAAAAACAATAATAATCGAA